CCCCCCCCCCCCCCCCCCCCCCCCCGCCCCAGTGGACGAATATTTTGCGATAAAATTTCTTTTGCAGGATTTAGAAATAAAAACATGTTGGACTTTTCTCCAGCTTGGACCTTGGTACAAGAGTTGGATTTTTGAAAAGATCCAGTGCTCAGTGGCACAACATTTTGCAAAAATACCCAGACTTTGTTGCACACGGGTTTATGCAGTGAAAAATAACCCATGGGCAGTGCTGTTGGGATTCATTTGCACAATTCTGTGCCACAAATGCAAAAGAATTAAAAAAAAAATTAAATACCTAGCATGAGCTGAAGAACCAAAGTTGAAAAAGTGATTGAGTCAAAATTAGAAGCATATTAAGAAGGTGCAATAAGTTACTGTTGAAAATTGATTTTATTGTGATCAAATTGTAATTCCCTGATTTTCTTGGAAGAAGCAAAGTTTTGTTGCTAAGCACATGACTTGGATTCAAAAACATTAAAAATCACACTTCTTGTTTATTATTGCATAAATTTGCATCCCTTTATATCCAATCCAACTTTTGGACAGCTCATAACTGATTTGCAGCATCTCATTGTCCAAATATTCTTCAGTGTATTCATTATACAGTACACATTTATGTAATTTTCTCAGATTTTCCAAAGAGCATTTTCTAATAAATTAAAATTTGTACTTATTGTATTGGAGAAAAAAATTAAACTTTCTGCTAAAAAAAATTGATACATTGGTTATTGAGCTTATTGGGTAATTGGTTGGCACATAATTTCAATCACATTCAAACCAAAATGTTTTTTCAACACTTCCATTGTACATCATAATGTATCATATTTTTAGATTCTTCAGATATTTCCAGTTATGGCAGTAAAATTATGCTTGGTTGCCATAATTATGAGAGGTAAAGCTAAAATGGTACAAATTTGAAACTGTTGACTGAGCTTGTAAATGTGAGAATATAGAAATACAGTATGCAACAAAAATAGAAGGATTTATAAAATCATGAGCCCTAATCTATTCACAGCAGGCTGACCTTGTGGCAATGAGTGTAACTTCTTCATAATATAGATACTGTACCATAATAAGTACAGTGGGTGGTTTAAAACTATGAGCAATCAGCAGCACACTTACATTGCTGTTGTAAACTGTAGCACAAACTGCGCTCAGTAGGCTTCAATGTCTTGAGCTTCATTGCATAGTCCACAATGGTTGGCAATGTAGTGTCATAGAACTCTGCCTGTTCTGCATCTCCCAAAGATGACAAGTATGTTTGCAACATGGCGAAACTGTGGGCCTCTGACTCATCCTCATCAGGGTCAAGACTCACACTGTGCATACAGTATGTGCAAATGGGAATCACTCTCTATATATACAACTATTCTTGTCTTGCAAGGATTTTCTTTGTACAGTAGTATGAAAAAACTTGTTTGCCTGCTCAAAATTGTTTTTGTTGCACTTGTTACCCCCACCTACTGTATTTTGAGAATGAGATAAAAAAAAAGCAAAGAAAAAGTCTTGCTAAATTATGCACAAATGCTGATGGAAAGATCATGTTCTCTATATGCAGTTTTTTCTGCACTGTTGTTTTCTAAAGCTTCAAGTTGAGAGAAAACAATTTTTATTAAATTTTTGAGGACCTATTTCTAATTTTTGACAAAACAGAGAAGCAATTGAATACATTTGCATCAAATAAGTCCAAGGGAAAATGAGACTCAACTTAGGGACATTCCAACTTATGGACACTGTTGATGCACCAATTAAGTCAACATCTTGGAGTCTCACTGACGTGTACAGTATCTTGCAATGTAAAAAAGAATTACAGTGTGACCCCACATATATCCACAAAAATGGAAAAAATATATTTTATTATGTATTTACTCTAATTCATAAATCAAGAATGAGCTGATTTTGTGCTTCTTTGTCAGAGTTTATTTTTAATATTATCTGTGCACCATCAGGGGAACTTCTGTGGCGCCATCTTTTGGCTGGCAGCAGTGGCCATGACATGCACATTATTATAGCTGTGCAAATTATGGCAAGACATTATTTTTCTTTGGTTTTAGAGCCTCTTTTATTTGATGTCAAAGGATCAGATTCTGTGTGGTTTTCTTGTGCACTGTTTTTTCCCTAACTTTAAGTTGCTGATGGAGGGATACAATTTTTTTTGAAATTTCCAGAGGACTTATTCCCGATTTTTGACAAACAGGAGAATTAATTAAATAAGTTTTCATGTATACGTATTGAAGTCTATTGGAAAACGAGATCCGACATGCGGACAATAATTCGACATATATAGGGACAAAGTCTGAGGCCACTGCTGCACACTTCCTTTTGTATATTGCTGTGTTATTATTATTTAAATTAAATGATTTATTTTTTTTACCAGCAGAGTTGGTGGATTTTGGTCAAGCAGTCGATGACCTGAGGCTCTGATCGTGCGGCGCGCAATTGGCTCAAGTGTTTTTGTACCGCCGCCCATGTGGGCAAGTCGCAGGGCAGCAACACCAGCGCCATTTGTGGCTCTTCAGCTTCTTCTTCTTCTTCTTCTGCGCCTTATATTTCTTCGTCACGATTTAAAAAAAAATAGAAAAGAGAAAAAGCACTGATGTTGAGATGAGATGAGAGCATAGCACTTTCTTCTTCTTCTTCCACTTCTCACAATGTATATATATTGAGAGTATATAAAATATATGTGTACAGTACTGTATATATAAAATATGAGGGTTTTGCCTGTATACTGTACTGTACATCAGAGTGTGTACCATATACATCGTCTTTACACTGAGGAGGTGGGGGCTAAACTGAGGCCCCCATCATGTCCCTGTCCCAGGTTAAGGTCTATAAAGTGGGAGGGTTTCCTTGAGAAAATGAGCAACTGGGAGAACTGGGTTTTCATTCATGATATTCATTGTTGCATATGAGGATGAAGTGATGGGACTACAAATGGCACACTGCATCTATAATTTTGAATATTATATATTGAAGATTGCTCTGATTTATTGTCTTTGACTCAGCATTCTGTGGTATAGGCATTCATATGACTCTTACATTTACTGCAGGTGTTCTTGTTGAAAAAAAAAAAATAAGCATTCCTTGTATTGACATATCTAATGTGTTTTCTTCATAAAAATTTATATTGGATGCTGCTGAGATGCATGACCAGGATGTTATCAGCAACAAAATTCCACTTACATTGCTCTAACAGATTAATGACATATGGTTTGTGAACATGCTGCAAATATTTTATTTAAAAAATAACAAGGTGTGTCCATGATTTCATTTGACTAATCTTTATTGTGTCTTGTGATTTTTGTTAAATGTTAATTTGTTGAAATTTATAGTAACTGAATGCTGTATCATGTTCAGCAAGGAATAGAGAAGCTTTTATAGATTTTGTATTCCAAACAGGCAGCACTTCTTTAAAATTCTGAGATATATGATTAAATCTGTATATGTAAATGATTCAAAGAATATGTCTGCTAATTTTGTGAGAAGTTATTTCCAATCAGGATTGCATTTGACCCACCTTTTATTTTTTCCTCAATTAATGTTATAAATTTGGCAAATTTCAAATTACAACTTTGTTTTGGGGAGTGCTGGGGAGGAGAGGTGAGTTTCATTTTCAGGCATTTTGGCACAGGTTCAGAAAGCAGGAGGATGACAGTAGCAGTTTTTGAAGAAGAGCAAAATAAGAATGGCCAGATGGTGTACCTTTTTTTTTTACTTGAGTATCTCATGACACATTTTTTTAAAACGCATATTGCTTCCCTTTTGCCTCTATCTTTGAACCAATACTTCTCCCTTTAATAATGTTTGACATATATATACCATCCCAATGCTTGAAAAGCTACCGTAAAATTAATAATTTTCATCAGTTGTGGATAAAACTTTAATTGTGAATGCTGTATCTTTGTTTCAATTGTTTTCTTTGTTTCAATTATTTTCTGCATGTGTAGATTTTTTAAATTTGTAGGTGACTGCTGATGGTGGAAATCATTTGGGAGTACAGTATTTATTTATTTACAATGTACATATTATTAACCTCATGCATGAACAGCTTATTCTCGATATTTTGATGAATATTTATTCTTCATCAATAGTAAAGGAGCAAAAAAAAAAACAAGATAAATCACAAAAATAATTACACTGGAAAAAATAAAGGTGTATATGATAAATATGAGACTTGCAAACAGCAGAGGAGATAAACAAACAAAAAAGGTTTCTTCCCCTCTGGAATGTTTTGGCTCTGCTGCCAAGAAACTTTCCAGGAACTTGCTGTTGTGTGTCACATGCAGTGAATGAACCTCTTTCTCATGCTGTATTCTTAGCTCCATCTGTTATTACCCAGGCATGATACAAAGTTTATTTTCTAGTTTCTACTATTACTACACATATTGATTGTGAGATTAAAGTCTTATAGTATTTATTGAACCTGGGGGAAAAGTATCCCTTGTTTTTTATTGTTTATTGTGTCCTTAAAGAACTTATCAAGGAGAGTATATTTGGGGTGTTTATGTCTATGTTACTCACCAGCAGGGAAATAAGCAACCTTGTGGGTTTCAAGGTGAAGTTTTTCATAGAATAACTCAGAAATAATGTATAGCTGATGACTGATGGGTCTGACTCCTGTTGAAGAAGGTATTATTCTATGCTGAATATAATACTGTACTGCAGTATCTCCTTATTATTAGCCAGCTCAATTATATAAAGTTATGATGCATGATTCTTTGAGTATGTATGCATATGTATAGCTTTCTGGTGCATGATGGTGATAGTACAGTATATATTGATTAACAGCAGTGCTATTTATGCGTGAACACATGCATAAAGCACTATATAATAATGTATACATTTAAAAATATATATACATGTTTGGTACAATCAATGCATGATGCAAATACATACAGTATTTCAAAACGTTGAGGATATAGCAAAATGTGCTGATTTCCAAGTCAGGGATGATGAGGAAACCAGCATGCTTTGAACGCTTGGATACTCTCTACAGTATCTACAGTATATTGAGAAACATTACATTGTACAATACTGTATGATATGATGCAATGCTTTTACTGACAGCTAGTATCCATTGGAACAGTCCGCAAAAGGTATGAGAGTAGGTGTCGCTAAAAGCTTCCAACCTGGATGAAATGGCATCGCGAGCTAATTCATTTACTCTGAAAGCTTCTTGATTATTTTAGAGTCATTATATGTGTATGGAACATTTAATCTATGAAATATTAATGAGTGCGAATTATTTAGGCTCAAATAAGGGATCAACTACGGAGTTGGATAGAATGAACTTGGTCTGTCCAGATAGTGGCGAGTGGCAACTGCGGTTAGGAACTGTAGCGCCATCTTTCGGACACACGGCAGTGCGCTAGTATTAGAACAAGTT